ACGATAGCTGGAACTCGTCTATCATTTACAAAGGCGCATGGTCCCAAACTTTTAATCAGTCCATTCCATCCACAGCGGCGCCCGCGCCCTATCAACAAACTAACGATGTCGGCGCTGCATTCGCCCTCTCATTTCAGGGAGAGGCAGTGATGATCAAGGGGCCGCTGAGCTTGGCATCTTGGCCTGGAACGTAAGCGCTGATCCGATGAGCGTATGTACTAAAGCTGATATCCAAACTAATCAGTCCAACGAGCTACCAAGTAGTAAGTACGGCCTCAAATCAAGGTACAACGTATATACTCACCTGCGCAGACACTCGACTCTAATTCGTCGTATGTTTACAATGCTACTACCGGATGGATTGTCGGCGACTCGGTTTTATATTTTCAAGGCGGCCTGGCTCCAAACGAGATGCACGCAATTGGGCTGACCAACCTTGATGAATACAATCCTATTGGCCTAAGCTCAATCACCGCCTTTAGCTCATCAGACATCCAGCTTTCTACTCCAGGCCCGGACTCGTATGTTTCCTATACACTGGCCCAGTTACTAGTACTAAGCGCACCTTAGGTCTTATTCCGCCTCGAAACGCACTATTATAGGTGCCTCTGTTGGTGGCGCTCTAGCCACTTTGCTCATACTGGCGCTTCTGGGTTTCTTGTGGCGGTGGCGACTGAGGCGGAATAAGAACCGAGACATGTATCCCGAACGTATCGCCCGGGATCCTAATGGGATCGACGCAGATAAAGCTGAGGTCGAGGGATACGTAGCGGAACCGTTCGTCTCATCCTCGGAGCCCTCGGTACCGGCGCAAAGGCGACGCAGGAAGGTTGGGCCTACAGTTCAGTCAGACGCAGCACAAGCCGAACAGCCCAGTTCGCAGGAGCCCCCGGGAGACTCGAACCCCAGACAGAATACCAGTGATCGCTCGGCTATACCAGAACCGCCTCAGAGAGCACAAAACGAAAGTACAGCTGGCGTAGTGTTGGACTATGAGCTGCTGGCTGAACATGTAGTAGCGCGGCTTGCTCGGCCTGTGGGTAACGAAGAGCAGCACCCGCCTGAGTATGCGCCACTCGGCCCGGAGCACCAGTGAGCCTAAGATTGATTACTGAAGTAACATCATTACTTCCTTGGGGTTCGTATTTATGTTTAGTATCTCGGAATGAATGTAAACTCACCCTACGTTGCCTCCCTAGTCCGACGAGCACTACTATATTGTTTACGCGACATCGCACACTCGTTCAAACTATCATTGTTCATAGGATATATTCAATCATGTTGTAAAGGCATCGTGGGGGACGTAGAAATAATGGAACTTGTGCACTTAAGTAAAACGTCAGAGGCCGATGGCTATTGGTTTAATGAGCAGCTCACGATTCGATTTACTTCCGACGTTGACCGGAAGCCTTCTCTTTCGCCTCTATCTCGGCGGCCTTGGCTAGACGTCATAGGAAACTATTAGTGGCGGTTGGCAATAAATCGAAAGAACAATGCTTACCTTCTGCTTCTTGCTTGCGTTGTGCGGCCGCGGCCTCTCTCTGCTTGCGGATCGCTGCCAGGCGAGCAAGGTCGGTCTTGGCCTGATCCGTTTTACCAGCTTGGTGCAGCTAATGGATGCGAACAATAAGTTCTGGTCGGGTAACATAGTAAGGGAACTGACCTTCCAATATTTCTCCTTAGCTTCCTTAGCCTCTTTCGCTTCCCTATCGTTGTAAGTGTTAAATTAGTCGCCCACACACAAACCACAACACTAGACTCACCTTTCACGCCTCGTCAGCTCCCGAGGAGCGCTAATATCCGAAATAGATAGGTTCTTCATGGCAACATGATTAGGGTTGATCAGATCCGAGTCATCTTGACTCTCCTCTCCGCTTCCACCCTCTTTGATAGTGCCGATCCCTCCCTTTTGCTTCGCACCTTGTTTCTTTTTCAGAGCTTTGCGTTCTGCTCGACTAAGTTCAGGCTGAGCAGTCGAGGATGGCTCTCCCTCCTCTTCCTCCTCCTCCTCTTCTTCCTCTTCTTCCTCTTCCTCCTCCTCTTCAGAATCTTCTTCACCCTCCTCCTCGCCCTGTTGCTTTTTACGGCGGTTCGCACTACCAGACCAAAATTTGCATGTCTCGTGGCTGAGAAAGTTGACACACATACCGGCGATCAGTGCCACTCGCAACGCCATCGCTGTCTAGTACCATGTCTCGAGAGAATGAACGTCCTCCACCACGTTTCTGCTTGAATTTTCCAGAGCCGCGAACCATATTGATAGAGTAGGATGAAACGCTGTGGTGGAACAAAGAAGGAATTGACGAGCCAATTGGAAATACTACATTGTCCGCTTCGGATGCAGAAGCGCCCGGTATGGAATTAACATAAAGATATGTGAATGTGCCCTATGTCTCTTTTCGTTTTCTACAACCCAGGTGATAGCTCTAGAGGACCTATCCGGTCTCGCCAAGCTCAACATTGTCGCAATAATTTAACCCGCTTTGGGCGCTACGGTTTGCTTCTGTCACTTGTAAGCTGGGGGGGGGGGGGGGGGCCGTGGGTGTGGAACGAATGAAAGTAAAACAAACCCATAATCTCCAAAGGTTATAGGCAGCCTCGCACCGGCCCGTGGGCCGGGGGGGGGGGGGCCCCCAGTGGGTGAGGAACGAATGAATGTAAACGAGACGCATAATCTCAAAAGCTTATAGGCAGCCAAAAGAAATACAAAGCGATAAAAGACATCCGGTAAGCCGATGGGGGTCGGGGAAAAAACCGCGAACTGAAGTAGCGAGCACAGGAGAAGAAAATGGTCACAAAACAAGAAATGTGAAGAAAAGTAAATAGCCTATAAAATTACTTGAGGCTCTTGCAGTTCCAACTACGCAACTTGAGGGGCATACACGAGATAGCGTCAGCGAGCGGTGCGAGGCGCTTGCTGGCAGCAGTAGCCACAAGTCATCATGTGACGCATTTATCCACCCCCAAGATCTCAGACCACGCTTAGGGTTAACGCAGGCCAAAATCCAGTACAACGCAAGATTAAAAATAGTTGCCCTCATGCCGGATTGAACGACAGACCTCATCATTACGTATGCTTAGGCGGTACGAGTGATGCGCTCTACCACTGAGCTATAAGGGCTTAGGAGAAGTCCCAGATTTAAGTATACTTAAAGGCACTAACCAAAAATTACTAACGGAATTGAGCTTGTTCTCCCCACAGTTGACAAGATTTGCTTTATTTCACACCCAGTCTTCATCAGATATAACAGATGTATTCATTATTCGCCTCTAAGATCTGGCATTTCACGCATACACCCTCAAAATTTATCATCAAACTACAGCACCCTTTCCACCATCCCGATGCCCTCCGCCTCGAGTTTTTCCCTCAGCGGGTCACAGATCTCCTTGGTGTAAGGAGCATGCACGCCAGACTTGGACAGCGCAGGCTCGCCATCGAGGATGAGCTGCACAGCAATGCCACATGGTACGCCTACAGTGCGAGCCATGGCGCTGTATCCACCCCGCTCGCCGTACGCCTCCAAAGTCGAGGTAATAATATCCTACGATCAAAGGGATAAGATGACTTATTCTTCTAAGTGTGTTGAGATTCTACTTACCGTCTTTCCATCCGCCCACTCGACGAAGAACTTGTGCTGAAGCATCACCAGATCCCGCTCACCCTCTTCGTATGCCATCAAGCCTTCCAACCGCGCGCACAGGGTATCAAGCAAGTTTCCGCTGCGGGGTGCGACGAGCTCGTTCGAGAAAAGTCCGAGCCACCGTATGCCAGAAAGGATGCGTGCTTCTTCAGAGGCATCGGGGAAGGAAGTGAGTTGTTTGATGCGCTCGATGATCGCACTAAAGAATCAGTGTGAGTAGCAGACTTGAGTACGGGCGTAGTATAGACGTACGCCTCATCAGCAGAAGATGTACCGACGGTCTTAGCCGTCAACTCGGCCCAGTTGATACTTGTATCCTCAGCAAGATACTCCTTCTTTTCATCGTTCAAGAATCCAATATCCACCAACGTCTTGATGAACGCTGGGAAACCCTGGTACCGCAGCGTACCACGCACGACGGTCTCGGCCTCTGGAATGTTATACCATTCGCGGAACGGTGTAGAGTCACTATATGCGAATGAGTCAACTTGAATTACGCAATACGAAACAAAAGCCTCACCGGTTGGGGTATGCAACAAACGCATACGCAGGTGTGACGTAGTATGGTTTCGCCACACCCATCAGCTCCTTGCCAGCAACGGTCCTGGCTTCGCCAGCCTCATAGTACTTGGCGGTATTGAGGAGTGCCAACAACACTCCGCGCGAGGACCAAGAGAACTTGTACCCAAGAGGATTGTTCGATGCTTCAGGCGCCGGAAGACCACCGCAGTATGACAAGAATTGCTTGATCTGTACCAAAATTAGATTTATGTATTGTAGCAAAACAGAAAGCGCACCTTGCCTCCTTTGGCGTGTACCTCGTCGATCGTCTTGACCGCATACAAGTGATCAATGCCGGGATCCAATCCGATCTCGTTCAGGACGATAATACCCGCCTCCTTGGCCTTTTCGTCTAACGCGCGCATCGCAGGGGAGACATACGACGTCGTAACAACATGAGTCTTTCCTTTGATAGCAGCCTCAATCACAGTCGCGTGATGCGTAAACGGTACGAGCGAGATAACCAGGTCATGCGCTGCAACATGCTCCTCAAGCTCGGGGGAACTAACATCCAAGGCGAGAGGAGTAGCGCGAGGGAGCGAAGCAGCCATGGCGGAAGCGGTGGCAAGGGTACGGCAGGCTAACGGGAAAAAATTAGGGCAAACTATAAGTTTGGAGCGCATTCACTCACCAATAGTCAAGTGGTTGCGGGGATCGCGCAAGATATACTCAGCGGCAGGTCGTGCAACATACCCACTCCCGAGCAACAAGACCTTACGCTCCTTAGCTCCAGCCTCCAAAACTGGTCCCAGATGCGGTAAAAGGTTCTTTCCCTCCTTCAACATTGCGCGCCCAAACTCGGGAAGTATAAACGCCGCCCGGTGTACGTCCTGGTTCCAGTACCTGCATCCCTCAAGTTTTCGAACGGGCGTGCGCAGGTCTCGCCCTTCGGCCTTGGAAGCGACCACAAATCCGATTTGACCAGAGGGATACGTGGGGATAGTAGTGAATGCGTATTCGGAAACAGCAAAGAGTTTACTCGTCGTATGGTGCAGCTCGTTGATAAGTGGGAGATGGATCCATAGACACTCGCCCTGGGTACTAATGTGCCCTCCATCCGCCAGTGCGTCCCTCAATAGTTCGAAGTAAGGCTTCTCGAACAATGCCTTGGCTGGGCCAACGGGATCGGACGAGTCAGTAATGATACAGTCAAACTGGGCGGTATTGCGTTGGAGGTACGCGAATCCATCACCAACGTAGACCGTGACACGCTTATCGGTGAGGAGGCTGGACATGTGCGGAAGGTAGGTCTTGGAGACGCGAATCACGGCTTCATCGATGTCGCACAAAACGACTTCCTCGACGGTGTCGTGTTTGAGAACTTCGCGAACCACACCACCATCGCCTCCACCGATGACGAGAACCCTTTTCGGATTGGGGTGTGAGGCGAGAGGGATGTGTGCAATCATTTCCTGGTAGCTGTAGTGTCGTTAATATAGTCCCAATTTGGATCAAATTAAGTGACCCACGAAAATTCATCGCGCTCTGTGCACTGAATGACTCCGTCAAGAACCAAAACATTCCCAAATGTCGCAGAATCGAACACGAGAACATCTTGATATTTGCTCTGCTCGACATGTAAGATCCGATTAACCTTGAGTGTCATAGCCTGGCCTATTCGAAAGTTTCAGCACGAGCGAGTCATACTAAAATGGTTTACGCACCTGGCCATTGCGAGTTGATTTCACGGAACCAGCCGTCTGCGTAGAGTGTTAGATTTTGGGAGAATAGGTTGTACAAGTAGACGCACCGACGATGGAGGGATGAGTGAGGACCATGTTGTTGTGAGGGTTGACCTCGAAAGTTTCGACCGATCAGTTTTTGAAGCTTGTGGATCAGGACCCTGAGATCAGCCAAATCGAGCAATTGGAAATGAAATTTCAGACCGGTCCACTTTTTCAGCATCGTTCGCCCGCAGATCGCTCGCTAATATCTTACCGATGTCACTTTGCTGCGATAGAGTAGTTCAGATGCGTACAATGCGTGACTTTGGCTTGTCCAAGTCATTTTGTGTGCCGGCTGTTGGGTCGTTTGGAGCCGCCTCATGTCTATTTACATGCACGAGAAGAAGTACACCAATATTTAGCCTACTGCCCTCGAAAAATTTGGTGTCTTTACTATGAGCTGAAAAGATTCACGATTAGAAAGTTCGGCGAAAACCGAGCATGAGTTTATGGATCGACTTTGGTAAACATCGGCCGATCTATCCGAGCTGAATATTGTATGCTGGTACGAAAGATCCAATAACCAAAGCGGCCAAATAGCGCGT